TGTGTTGGAAGTGTAGCCATTCTGAAGCAGGAACATATCCCATGAGCATAGTTTGACAAAAAAAAAAGTATTAGTTTCTGTGGCGTGGACTTAAAAAAGTGGTACTTCCTCAAGCAATTATACAAAAAGTGCCTATTGTTTTTGTGTTTTGATCCTGGTGAGGTCATGTTAAGTCACTGATCCAAGTCTAGATAATTTTCAATTCTGCTTCAGTAAACTTTAATAGCCTCTGACCTATAGGTTTAGCTTTAACAAAGCCTCAAAGCAGGAACACATATTTTGTGTGTTTTCCATATCCAGAATTTGTCTTGTGTGAATACCAGCTTTGCTTCTTTTCTGGTATTTGGGTTAAGATCCTATCAGCACTGGTCTGTTGTCTGGGGGAAAAATACTCCTTAAACTGAAAAAAGGTTTGTAGGCTCAGTCATCCAGGTAGAATCCTATCAGACAAAAATAGGACAACATTCCCCTCCAAGACCTCCAGCAGCTGGTCTCCTCAGTCCGTAGACATTTACAGACAGTTATTAAATGAAGAGGTGAAACTTCACAGAGGTAAACAAGACCCTGTTCCAAGTTTTTAAAGATGTGTTGTTGTTGTAAAATTCAAAACTACCGGTATCTTATTTTTCCCCAAAATATAACGAGTTCATAGTTTCAACATTTGATATACAGTGAACCCTCGCTATAACGCGGTTCACCTTTCACAGTCTCGCTGCTTCACGGATTTGCATCGTGCATTGTGTTCTGCATTCTGATTGGCTAAACAGTCTCTCCGCTTCTTCTCTACCTGTGTGTCAATAACGTTGCGGTTTAATATGTATACGTACGTAAAACAGCTTGCCAAATTTAAGTTAGCAAATTCCCTTGCGATTTGAATTTGAAGCCTTCAGTTTGTATTGATGAATAAAATTATTTTACAGTACAGTAGTTATTTGTAAAAAACGTTTATACAGTATTTTGTTAAACAAATGATTGGGCCTGTAAAAAGGTTTTGTTCTTTGGTTTGAATATATTATGGAGTATTTCATTGTATAATAATTGTAACAAAAATAAAGGTTGCTACTTCACGAATTTTGCCTATCACAGGTTCATGTTGGAACGTAACCCCCGTGAAAAACGAGGGTTCACTGTATTCTATATCTGCTCTGTATGACTGTGAATAAACAAAGGGTTTGTCTGATTTGCTAATATTGTATTTAGTTTTAATTTACTTTACACATCAACCTCGCTTGTTTGGAAATGGGTCTGTATTGAGGTCTATAATCTCATACATTGTATTTTGTATGACTCATAAAGAAACGCATGCGGGGCAGCACGGTGGTGCAGTTGGTAGAGCTGCCGCCTCTCAGCGAGCATGTCAACCCCGTTCAAATCCCAGCCGGGGACCTTTCTGGATGGAGTTTGCATGTTCTCTCCGTGCATGCATGTTTTTTTTCAGGGTACTCCGGTTTCTTCACACAGATCAAAAACATGCATGTTAGGCTGATTGGTAACTCTAAATTGTCTCTAGGTGTGAGTGAGAGAGTGAATGGTTGTTTGTCTCTATGTGTCCCTGTGATGGACTGGAGACCTGTCCAGGGTGTCCCCCGCCTCTCGCACAGTGACTGCTGGATATGGGTGCCAGTGATCCCCACAACCTGAAATGGAAGAAGCGGGTAAAGATAATGGATGGAAACACGTGCTTTAGAAGTTGGCTTGGATTGACTTTGGCATCAACCTTTGGAAAACAGTCGACTGCCATTGATCAGTAGTCCAAAAGTTGAGATCTGTTTTTTTTGAACGGCTAATATTTCCCAAGCAATATGCTCTTTTCAGGGCAAAGCACTGCCCTGAGCATGAGATGAAAATCATGACTGAAATAGGCAGTCGTCCTTTGTTTTCTGAAGGAGGCAAAATTGTTAAATAAAAATGTCTGTTACACTTCTCCTTTTATGGTCACCAGAGTATTATCCGCACAACTCAATTCACATTTTAGAATGGATTAAAATGTATTGTAATGTTTAGAAATTGGAATCAACTCAGTCTAACTGGGACAGATGATACATTTTATTTAAAATGCTCCAACTTAAAAAAATTTTTTTTCATTGCTTCGGTCTCCTCTGCTGTTAATGCAGAATATTTCAATTCTATCTATAAACACATGCTGGCTGTGCAGAGTAAATGTTCTGTGACTCTTTTTCTATGACCGTAAACAAAAAGGCAGCCGGCATGGTCCTGTGCTGTCCAACGCTACCACAGCCCTAAATCCTCCCTCCCTGTCCTCTAAGCAGTGAGCAGACCATCTGTTCAGGACGCCAGGTTAGAACTGGCTGCTTAAAACACACACGCACACAGAGTGCATCGCTCAAACAAAAGCTCAAATTTGTTGTTGTTCAACTAGATTTCATGCTCTTCTAATAAAGTTGTGTATGATTTTTTTTTTGAGTTCTTGTATGGTGAGCGTTCAGCATGCTGCTATCAGAGTAGTTGAGGTGCACGTGCCAGGTTGGATATGGAGCAACAGGAAATGATCAGGGATGGGTGCAGCATTGTATTATTTTCCTGCTGGAGTTGTTTGTACTCATCGAAGTCCTCCAGCCGTGTTTGTCTCCGCTCCTTTTCCTGTTTTCTCTTGTTTTCTGCTGCTGTAGTTCAGCTCATCCAGACTGAAGAAACAATCCATTGCATGAAATGTTGAAGAAACAGTCTAATCAATTTCATGCTTGTGTGGATGTGAGGTTGTAATAGCTATAAAATATAGTAATATAGTTAATTAATTGAATAACCTAATTAACTACAATATAAGTGAGCTTTTACATTTTATGTAATCAATCACCAAAATAAATCTTGTTGATTTTAAACATCCTCTTCATGAGTTGGAAAGAAAAAAACTTTGTGGATAAGTCGCTCTTTTTCATAAAACTATACCCAAGGTGCCAGTGAGAAAGTCTGCGTTTATATACAACCTGTTTTCCTCTGTTTTGTAAGAGATGAAAATCTCTGATTTCCCAGTTACCACTGATTGCAGCAGAACAGTTCTTCAAAGATGCCACCGACAACATGCAGTTACATCTGTGCATTTATACCACAGACATATTTACGCCTCTGAACAGTAGAGTTCAGCTGCACCACATCGTTTCACTCAGGGTTTTGCAGTTTTCACTACGGCCACATTTAGTGATGGCGCCCTGATTTGTCAACTGCTTGTCTCTGAAGAGACAAGAAGAAGAAGAAGAAACATTTCAAAGTTCATGCTCAACAATCGAGGTAAAATATCCAACAAAGTTAAGTCAGGTCATCTGGAAGTTTCTTTTTTTGTTGAGACGTTTCATCCAAAGGACTTCATCAGTGCGAGGAGCCACAACAAACTCAGTTCCCCAAGTAGCACACTCTCATAGTGGGCCAACCAGTTTGCTGGTGATAAGATGGTTTCGTTTTTGAAATAAAGAAAAGACTGTACCTGACTGAACATTGTTGGATTTTTACCTGGATTATTGAGCATGACCTTTGATGTTTTGAACCACTTTGGCTATGGCTGCCTCAGAGGAGTTGAAGGGGGAGAGGGTGGGCCCCAGAAACCATCTTATCACCAGCAAACTGGTTAGATTCCTGCTTGTGGGACTGAGTTTGTTGTGGCTCCTTGGACGGATGAAGTCCTTTGGATGAAGGGTGAAACATCTAAACAAAAAAAGAAACCATCCAGATGACCTGACTGAACTTTGTTGGAAGAAGAAACATAGCTTGAGTGATTTAACACGAGGAATTTGATGCGGTTTTTCTCTTTTTGGTTCATGAATAGGTTTCCTTCAGTTTATTTCAATTCTTCTTTTAGCTGTTCCCTTTTCAGAGAGGTCACCAGAAAGAGTCCGTCCGTCCGTCCGTCCGTCCATCCATCCATCCATAATCTTTACCTGCTTCTTCCTTCTTGGGTCACAGGGGTCACTGGTGCTCATATTCCAGCAATCACTGTACGAGAGGTGGGGGACACCCTGGACAGGTCTCCAGTCCATCACAGGGAGACAAACGAGACAAACAACCATTCACTCTCTCACTCACATCTAGGGACAATTTAGAGTTACCAATCTCCCTAACATGCATGTTTTTGATCTGTGGGAGGAAAATGGAGTATCCGGAGAAAACCCACACATGCACAGAGAGAACATGCAAACTCCACCTAGAAAGGCCCCTGGACTAGGATCTGAACCGGGGCAACCTGCTCGCTGAGAGGCAGCGGCTCTACCAGTTGTGCCACCGTGCTGCCCACCACAGAGTCATCCTCCTCTATTTCACTCTGTCTTCTGCATCCTTTGATTGATAAATTTTAAACAAGTATTTATTAAAGTTTATTGAGTCATTCTTCTATCCTTGATGAGTAAGAGTAGTAGAACAGCTTCATCAGCAGATTGGTCAGCACCACCTCTGCTGCTTCTTGTCTTTATGGCCTCTGATTTCCCCACGATGTCTCTTTGCTGTTTGACAAGGAGGGAGTTTATGAATGACGTGACTGCATGTCAAAGAGGGTGGCAGCTGCAGGTCTTGGGGGTTGGTGAGAGCTTGTCAGTGTGTTTGTATGTTAATAATCCTGTCTATCCTGATGACTTATCCTGTGCAAGTGTGTATGTCAGGCCCCAGTAAATCATTTGACCCTTTAGCAGATTACATAACAGCACATGGGGTTTGTGTCATAATCTGACAAATTTCTTAATCCGGTAGATTGCAGGGGGCTGCGCAGCAACCCCTGGTCACAGATCAGCTGAACAGTCGGTAGAAGTTGCGTTTGTTCATCGCAGAAATGTTGATGGTGCATCCCCCCCCCCCCCCCCGTCTTTTCTATTTAAATGCTGCACCTCATCTGGAGCACATCTACTGTATTTGTTATAAATTAAACTGTGTTGTTAGTCTGCAGAGTACTAATCTTTTCTGTTGTCGTCCCTCTTGTTTTTCAGTGGTAATGTCTTGATGTTTTGGCCCCTCCAGCCCAGGAAAGGACGTGTCATCACCGGGCTGCTGCTAATGGGATCTTCTGCTCTGCCATGAGTGCTCGTGATGGCGTTGGTGGCATCGGCACCCTGGGCCGACGGCAGCGCTTCGAGAACTCTGAGTTCACTGTGCGCATCTACCCTGGCGCCCTCTCACAGGGTACCATCTACTGCCCTATCAGTGCCCGCAAGTCCACCACAGCCGCTGAGGCCATTGAACGTGTCATTGAGAGGCTGCAGCTGGACTGCACCAGGTGCTATGTTCTAGCAGAGGTGAAGGAATTTGGTGGGGAAGAATGGATTTTGAACCCCACCGACTGTCCAGTGCAGAGGATGATGCTGTGGCCCCGGGTGGCTCTAGAGCTCCGCCCACTATCTGGTGGTGAGGATTACCGCTTTCTGCTACGGCAGAAAAATCTGGACGGCTCTATCCACTATGGCGGCAGCCTCCAGATGTGGCTTCAGGTCACGGAGGATCGGAGGCGCATGGTGGAACGTGGACTGCTGCCTCAGCCGGACTCTCAGGGAGACCATCCAGATCTGTGCTGCCTCCCAGAACTCAACGAGCGCTCACTGCTGGACAACCTGCGCTCGCGCTTCCGCCATGAAAAGATTTACACTTATGTCGGGAGCATCCTCATCGTCATTAACCCCTTCAAGTTCCTGCCAATCTACAACCCCAAATATGTGAAGATGTATGACAATCACTCACTGGGAGATTTAGAGCCTCATATTTACGCCGTGGCGGATGTGGCCTATCATGCCATGCTGAAGAGGCAGAGGAATCAGTGCATTGTTATATCTGGAGAGAGCGGTTCTGGGAAAACGCAAAGCACAAACTTTCTCATTCATCATCTGACGGCACTCAGTCAGAAGGGTTTTGCCAGTGGAGTGGAGCAAATAATTTTGGGGGCGGGGCCAGTGTTAGAGGTGAGTAAAACTCATTTATTCCTTTTATGTTCTCTGTTGCACCTTATGGTTAGGCCTGTCACAATAACAAATTTTGCTGGGCGATTGTCTCAGAAATTATTGCGATAAATGATAATATTGTTTGAAATTTGACAATAATTAGTAATTATTGTCAAATTTAAGAAGAAATGTTGGTTAATTTTTGTATGTATTTCCTTTTTTGACCACTGGATGCCAGTATAAGACTGTTTGAACCGAAGGATGGATGGTGAGGGAGCGAGCAGCGTGACCCTTTAAGAAAAATGGGAGGGAGACCCCTTGACATGACATGGGCTGTCTCTCCTTCCTGTTTTTCGGTTCTCAAAATGGCGGCTGCTCGGTGTGGTTTTAGCTCTTTAGCATTGCATTTGTCACACAAAGTTTTTAATTAAAAAAAACGGTAAACAAGTTCTCAGCTTCTTTTTGCAGAGAAAAACAACTTTTTACACAAAGGCACGGGTTTCAACTGTGAATTTTGGAGCTTCGACAAGACGGAGTTTTGTTCCCCAATGTTGGCCTGTTAGCTTAGCTCGTAGCTTAGCTTCTCAGCTTAGCTGCTTTTAACGATCCAAAAACACAATTTTGGATCGTTAAAATGGATTTTAAAGAGAAAGGGAGGGGTCAGTGAAGAGCACCGGAGTTGAGCCTTTTGTCATCCAGTGTCTTCAGTAGAAAGAGAGAGACACGAAGAAACGATAAAGCCGATAAATGAAAATGAGGTAGATAATTTACATTTATCATGTGATTTAATTGATTTATTGTTTATCGCAACAGGTCTACTTACAGTACAACTGAAGTAGTACCATGCAATGCCTTTTCTTTTTCTTTCTTTTTTATGAACACGTCAGTTGATGTTCCGAGTTTAGTTGCTGATTGAACATATTGATCAGAAACACTTCTCATCTGTTGCTGTGACATCGTCTCTGCTGCACCCTCTCTTGCATGCTAGTTCTACATTTGCAGCCTTATGAAAAACTGTTTGACTCAGTTTGTACAACCCCTATATGAATGTATGTATACTGAGTATTGACCATTAAATGCTGCTGATGATGAGGCTGCTGAATGTATCAGTCTGCTGGGAGTTGAGGACACTTTTAGGCTGACTAGGCGTGCTGATCAGGTGGACTGAGTCTCCAAAATGTCTAGACTGAAACTGATAATTTGAATGTTTTCTTGCAAATCTGAGTCGCCAGCTTGTCTCCAGCAGTCACAGCTCAATGATATTCTGGCTAAACTTGAAAAAAGGAACTAGAATGATGGAAATTATTCTGTATTTAGGATGCTGTGGTAATTTTTCTGTATTCACTTATTCTGTGCATTCATAGCTTACACAGCTTTAAAGTTGCACTGATTTCTGCTGCTATTCTCAACACGAATGCACAATAGTTACACAACACTACTTTGCTGCAATTGTATCTTTTTATCCTTGGGTTGTTTGTGGTCACATACTGAGATTTATTGCAGCTTTTATGCCAACTGTGTGGGGATTATTTAGCGCTCGGAAAAACTTCATCTGCTTGCTTGCTGTGACTTATCACTGTCACAGTTTTTTTGTTGTTTTTCTTGCACAATAGAAATATTGTCTCAAGGTAGGGGTTATAGAGGCCCAGTCAAATGCTATGAAGGAAACTGGTTGTTTCGTATCACTCAAGACATCTGGCTCATGTTTGCGTTCTCCTTCAGGGACCCGTGAGTAGATTACGCTCCAGCCAGTAGTCCTTGACAGGTTCACAACTGCACATTGTTGTTTTGTTTGTCCAACTGAATTCCTGAGAGTTGCGTAACGTTCATAAGAGGTATGCATCACGGTGCCTGTACGAAAGTCAAGTACAGGTTGTGTTTGTCAGGAGCGTTGCTCTATGCGCCACGCCTGATCGCCACCTGTTTACTTTTGGTCCGCTTAAAATGAACGGGGCATTGTTCACAAACATGAAGATACATCTCTGGTATTTTTTTTACTAGTTCTTTGGATATGTACTCTGTTTTGGTGCAAATTTTTCCAAGCTATTTAAATAAACACACTTTTTTTTTTTACATCTTTTATTCCCATTTTCCTCAACTGGTTCGTAAAAACGACCATATAATTGTAATTTTATGCATCACTTTCAAGTTAAAAGTGGCAGCCTGGAAGCCAAGTTTAAATGTAACTAAAAGGGCATGAACTCTGACAACAAGTAGCTCTACGTTGTGTTTTATTGCCCCTTCGTTTGGCAAACACAGTCCTAAGGAATGCCATTCATCGGTGTGACTCCCAGGTTAATGTGTAAGCACACTGTGTTAATCCTCAACACACCAACACGAGTGAGTAGCTCTGAGTGCAGAGGAGCTGCCCTTAATTGTTTGCACAGTAAGATTGCATATCTGCCCGCTGGTGATTATAGCTGTTGTGCTACTGCAGAGAGGCAGAAATGAGCGAGAGGAGTGGAGGAACAGCAGCCACCATGACTTCAGTATCATTTTTCTGCAGTTCTTTGTAAGTTTATATTCAGGAACGCCAACAACTGGATGGAAGAAAGAAAATTCATTGAAATTTATTAAGATGTCTTTCTTTTTTTGTGTAATATGACTAAATTGTTCTGTCATAGTAAAACATATATGTAACAGTAATGTTCTGTCACCTTAATGAACAGAACTTTGACGTCAAGCCTGACCTCTGAAGTTGATATATGTGCCATTTACTAAACAACTTGGATGCCTTTCTGTGCATTCTGCAGAATTTAGTTACACAGTTAGATCAAGGACACTAAACTACAGTATTAATAGTACTGTATAGCATTAATAAGTATTCATCGGTTATGCGCCATTAACTGAACCTATTTATTTATTAACCTTTATTTAACCAGGCAAATCCCATTGAGATCACACATCTCTTTTGCAAGGGAGGCCTGAAGTCAGCCTAACATGCATGTTTTTGGTATGTGGGAGGAAACAGGAGTACCCGGAGAAAACCCATGCAAGCATGAGAAGAACATGCAAACTCCACACAGAAAGACCCCAGGTCCAATTGGGGATTGAACCCAGGACCTTCTTGCTGTGAGGCAACAGTGCTGAGCCGTCGTGCTGCCAACCTAACAATTTACCGTGCTCTTTTTCAACGTTCTTGTTTGAGGGCTGTGATGAAGCATGTTCTCTAACTTTTACATCAAACTGATGCAAATCTGGAGCATACTCTTTCAAATTATTCAGCTTCAAAACAGGAAGAAGCGTAGAGTGCATATTCAACACAAAGATCGTTGTATAAACTGGAGCTGTAAGAAAACTAATCCCTGTGTGCAAAAGATACCACTTGTGTCCATGATTACAGGTCTGAACGATGTGATTTTAATCCCCTGCAGCAGAGAAAAGTTGCCTTGTAAAATGCTCTAAAGCTTAATCCCATTTCCAAGTGGTTCCTTTATCCCCAAATTACAAGGGTCGTCTTGGTTTATAAACTGAGGTCACAAGCAGAAGTGGTTAAAATTAGAGATAAACATTTCATGCAAAAATACTTTAGAATAGAAAATTAGTTTTGTGATTTTTGATTATTCTTCCTATATTTGATTGTAGTTTCTTCAAAATAAACAGAACCTGACATTCAACCTTTATTTATACAGGTTAGTCTCATTGAGCCTCGAGGACTCATTTACAAGAGAGACCTGTTTTAAACAGATAACACAGATGAGGTACAGACAATAGACAATCATATGAAAACATAAAATGAAAAAGTAAATAGAAGAAATTATATAAAAACGAAACAAAAACAGCTACATTATAAAGTGATGTAAAATACTAAAAACAGGAACATGTCTGCGTTGGTTTTTGCCAGGAACTTAGCAGATGTTTGAAGCCACTTAGAGAGGTCAAGGTCGAGAGCTTCAGGTCTTTTTGCAAGATATTCCAGGAAACGGGAGCAGAGTAGGAGAAGGCCCTTTTGCCAAATTCGGTCCACACTGAGGGAACACTGAAGGTAATGATGTCCTGAGAGCGCACGCTGTAACTGCACTCATGGAATCTTTTTTTGTTTGTTTGTTTAAGGAGTTTTCTTGTCAAAATTTGCACCCCATCTGCAAAAGTTTGTAGGGGATTACTTGGAACATTGCTGCTACTTCTATTTTAATCAAGTTCAAGTAGTTTATTGTCGTCCTCACCACATGTGGTACACAAGGTGGGACGAAATTATGTGCACAGGGTCCCAGTTACATCCAAAAATAGAAAAAATACAAAGCGTAAAATGCTTAATTAATGCTTGTTAAATACTAATCATTAACATCAGCTCCCTTCAATTAAAGCGAGAACATCTTTGGATGTAGGGTCAGTAAGCCTACCACTATGCTCTTTTCCTTCATCACACAAGGTTTTGGAAGCCATTACCTTTTGCTGTCAGCATGTAAACTGTAGGGCAACGTGTTGGAGGCAAAAAGTGAAATGCGTAGAGGTAGGGACGTGGCATTCAGCTATGAAATGCGCTTTGAGAATAGCTACTCTTGTTTCCGTAAATGTCTAGACAGATGAACTCAGAGAACTTGTTTCCTTCACCAACCTGAGTTTCTAGCCAAAGCAGCAACTTTCCTTGTCTCGCTGTAGCAAGAACAGACAACACAACTGAAGTTGCCACCTGTTGCCAACAATAGCCAGCTCTTTTTCTTGGTTGTGATCCACAAATACCAGATATGTGGAGTCTATAATGTCAGGTAGTTTGAATAGTATCTAAAGTATGAACAAGCTCTTTACTTTTTCATGATTAAAGTAAACCAGCTAAATCCACCACATATCAAGCTTTGCAAAGTTACTAGAGCTATCATTAAGGACTGTGTTATGTGAAATCTGTGCAGAACATTTAGATGGTTATGATTAAAGATGAAGTGTCATGTCATGTTAGTGGACCACAAATTAGTTGCACACTGTTTGGTAAGGAACCAACATTAATTACTGAGAGTTTAAATTCATCCAATAATGATTAAAAGGTTACATGATCAGTGTTGCCAGATTGGGCGGTTTACTGC